TACTGGGAATAAAGCCACCAGCAAAAGAGGTTTTCAGTAAGAGCCCCGTGAGCAATCTGGCCCTGTAGTTATCTCCTCTTATGATTTTAGCATTGCAAAACCAAAATAAAAAGAAAGGGGTAAAAGAGGAGAACAAGGAAAAAATATATGTGCAAGGGCTTTAGATTGCTTTGCTGCTTATAGTCAGGGGCCTGGAACTTGAAACATGTAAGGTCCTGGAAACAGTACAGCTAATCATTGGTGACTGGAAGAGAAATGTGCACTAAGCTCCAAGTAGAAGTTAACTCACAGGCATTTTGAAGCTTTGCTTAGGGAGTTAGAATTGCAGCCCTTTGTCCCTAATTACCCTGTGAATACACTATAGGAATTTTGTAAGCTCCAGAGTCTTTAAACAGTGTCATTTAAAGCAATTTTATGTGTGTATTTGTACAGATTACTTGCTGACTTTTGAGCAAGAAATGATCTCAAAATCCCCTTATGTCTACTACTATTTCAAGGTAAGGGAATACTCTGGAATGGTTCCCATTTTCCAAATGTAATATTTTCCAAAATAAATGTTGGAATAGCTGCATGGTTGATAGCATGTGAACATTTTAATTTGCACAATAATATCCTGGAGTTTGTGGATGCTTGGCCCTTTTCCAAGAAGGTTGGAAGTTCAAATGCTGGCTGTTTCTTCTCTGTGGGAGGAAAAAGGAGCATGTGAATCAGAATTGGTAAATTGGAGAGGAGGTCATAGACTACATGGAGTTAAGTAAGGAAAAGTGCAATGCAATGTGCAGTGAGGAGAAAAGCCAGTTGTATGAGGAAAAGGACTGGTTACCATTAAAGGCTTCAAAATGAAGGCCTCAGAGGAGAAATGAACAGGGAGGTTAACAACTCCCTGTTTTTCTCTCTCTTCTAGAAGATGGGGCTGTTGTAATGAGATACAGGTGCAACTCTGGGATATCAGGGATCTCCACCCTGATCTATTCAGAAGACTTTTAATCCTTCAATGTTTGTAGTTCACACACTGCCCCATCCAACAACCCTGCTCTGATGATCTTATTTCAATTGTTGAATGGAATCATACTGTGAAGATTATCTGTTTTCTTGCCTTTTTTCTCAATCTAATGAGATTCTTGAGACTAAAATGTAAAAGGCACACAATTATTATATGTTTAATGTTGAATAAGCCTCTCTTGTTAGAGTCCTACCTCTTCTGAGATCCCTTGATGCACAGCACTTGCTTCAGACATGTTGTCTTTTTTAACCTCCTACATTGTACCATAATTTCTGTACATTTTAGCTTCACTACTAGACTGATAATTCTTCTTCAAGAAAAATGAGATAAAGCATATAAAGTACTAGTACCATGTGTGTTGAATAAATAATAACCATTAATTGTGTAATTTGCTTAAAGGACCAGAAAATATATTTTATTTAGAAAAATCTTAAAGGTTTAGGAAATTACATTGGAACAGATATCATTTATTTTTCAAGTCACTTGAGTAAATTATGCAACTAAAACAGATATACGTATTGGAATAAGGTAATAACATAATGACTTAATTTATTGTTCACCTTTTAATTTTTGGAACAAAATACCTGACATATACAATTAAAAGGAGGAATAATTTAAGTGACATGATTTCAGAGGTTATAGTTCATGGTATTTTGACTCTAAGCTAGAAACATCATGATGGAAGTGTGTGATAAAACACTTCTCACTTCATGGTGGCTAGGAAGCAAAGGACAGAGGAAGAGCCATGAGAGGAAGGGAATGGGGAACAGAGATAGTCCCCAAATTACAGTTCCACGAACACCCAGGCACAATCAGATGTATGCTTTATTAATCACCCTCATCTTCTATCAAACCAATGAAGTTGACAAGATTAACAATTACCAGTCTTCAGGTATCTGTTTCATACCATTCCCCTCGTACAGAAAGCTGGGATTTAGGGTAGGATAAGGGAGTCATTGCTGAGTTGCCCAACTTCCAAGGACACCATTTATACTGTGATCTACTGAGGTGATATATTGTAATGCACCAAAATGTGGGTGCTGTACTAGTAGGCAACCTTTTTCATTGTAGATCTAGGTCATTTGACTTCAAATGAAGTGGGATAATATTCACTGAGATTTATTAGAAGAAGAGCTCCATAGAGTTTGTTATTATTATAATTATTATTTTTTTTGGAGACAGAGCTTATCATGCAGCCCAGGCTGGCCTCAAACTCAAGGCAATCCAGCCTCAGCCTCCTGAGTGCTGGGATACAGGCATGTGCTGTTGCACCTGGCTTTCAGAGAGCCATTTTCTATAAAGGAAGAGATTCCTTTGGAGTGCTGGAGCCAACAAAGCTTTCTGAGGTTAGTTAGATGCCACTAGAAAAAAACAGTGGAACACACCGAGTATGTGCTAGGATCAGAGGCATTGAAACTTGAAGACAAAGCATGAAGATTGCTATAGCTGGGGTACAATCTGTAATGGTAGTATTGCTTCATCAGTAGATAAGCTGAGTAGATTATGAAAGCACAGCAAGGATTGTAAATAAGGTCATTATGTTTTTTAAAAATTTATCATGCCCACTGGCTGGTTAGTTTGATATCCTTGAAACATCTGGCCCATGACAGGTATAACCGCAAGAAGTTCACTTGCATAATAAAATTGAGATCAGATTTTTTTTTTCAGATAGAATCTGGAGAAATCTCTGAGTGACAACGTAAAACAGCCACTTAGTCCTTCTCAAAAATGAGTCACTAGAGGGGCACTTCAGCAAAACATCTTTCTGGGATCCTTCCAGGACAGGTCAGAACCAAGGTAGATCTGGAGCTCTCCCCTCTGTTTCAGCTGCTGCACTTAGAGAGGCTAACAAGGTGCTATTGACAATTTAATCCCACTACACCTTCCTGCATACTATTTGCTCAGTACATGTTAATGATTGACCAGCTAGGTGACTGAGTGCAAAATTTTGATACTGAAAGAACTGGCATTACTCATATTGGTAAAATGGCAGCACAAGGACATTTGATGAAAATAGTCTCTTGTGATTTTTAAATTTTTTTTATTTTAAAGAGATTAAGATAAAAGAGGACATAACAAAGCAGATAAGAACAGAACAATTCAAGCAACACAGTATTTCACCAAAAGACAACACAATATATCAGTAGCTACCATAATGTCTCTTTCCCGATAGTATCAAACATAATGAAATAGTATAAAACCATTAAAGAGAATGAAAGTATTACAGGGCATTCAGAACCAAATAACAGAAAATGAAAAATGGTTACTATATTATCTCAGTGTCCATAAAATATTTGTTTATACTATCACACATAATAAAATCCAGTAAGACACAACATGATAGAACCAATGGAATCCGAAGGACAAAAGCATGGTAGAACTTCAAAACAAGATGATATTAAATCAGCACTGGCTATTATAATGTCTTGTTTTCTTCAAAATAGCTGTTCATACCATCACAGATAATAAAATAAAAAAAAAATCAGGATAAAACCATTCCAGGTAATGATGGGGAATCATGATTACAATAAAATCTTATGGACTCTTATCACTTCTTATACGGGAGCCTATACGGTATTTATACATGTGAGTTTGATTTATTTCACTTTTGAGTATAGTCTCAAGCTGCGTCCATTTATTTATAAATATCTCAATGTGATCATTCTTTATAGCTGAGTAGTACTCCATTGCATAAAAATATCACAACTTTTTTATCTGTTCCTCAGTTGATGGACACTTAGGTTTTTCCAAGATCTGGCTATTTCAAATTGTGCTGCTATAAACATGGGTGCACATATAACCCTGTGGTATGAGGTTTTCAGTTGTTCTGGGAACATGCCTAGAAGTGGAATAGCTGGGTCAAATGGGACTTCCATTCCCAGCCTTTTGAGAACTCTCCAGACTGACCTCCACAATGGTTACACTAGTCTATACTCCCACCAACAGCGCAAGGAGAGTGCCTTTTTCCCCACAGCCTCTCCAGCATTTGCTGTTGGTAGCTTTCTTGGTCCTGACCATTCTATGTGGAGTGAGATGAAATCTCAGTGTGGTTTTAATTTGCATTTCTCTAATGACCAATGATGCTGAACATTTTTTCATGTATTTATTTGCCATTTGTATTTCTTCATCTGAGAACTGTGTATACATCTCAGATGCCCATTTTTGGATTGGGTCTTTGAATTTTGGGGGTCTGATTTTTTAAAATTCTTTATATGTTTTAGAAAGAAATCCTTTGTTTGAGGGACAGTTCACTAAGATTTTTTCCCAGTTTGTGGGTTTTCTTTTCACTATGCTGGAGATTTCTTTTGACATGCAGAAACTTTTTAATAAGACGTGACCCAAGTTATTGATTCTCAGAAGTATTTCCTGTACAGTTTGATTCCTGTTCATTCTCTACCTACCCTATGCCTTCAAGATTTTTACCTAACTTGTCTTCCAACAAATTAGTATTTCTATTTTGATATTCAGATCTTTGGTCCATTTAGATTTTAGTTTAGTACATGGTGATAGGCACAGGTCTAGTTTTAGTTTTCAGCAGATGGAGAGCCAGTTTTTCCAGCACCATTTATTAAAGAGACTGTCCTTTTTCCAGTGAACATGTTTGCCCCCTTTATCAAAGATAAGGTGGTTGAGTGTGTTGGTAGTTGTTGTTGTATCTTCTAATGTATTCCATTAATCTTCAGATCTGTTTTATTCCAGTACCATATTGATTTTATTACAGTAGCTTTGTAGTATAACTTCAAGTCAGGGATTGTGATACGTCCCTCTTTGCCTTGCTGCTTAGAAGTGCCTTTGCTATTCTAGGTCTCTTCTGGTTCCAGATGAATTTTAGGAGTGATTTCTCTAGATCTATGAGGTATGTTGATGGTATTTTCATTGGGATTGCATTGAATCTGTATAACAGTTTTGGGAGAATGGACATTTTCACAATATTATTTTTCCTATCCATGAGCAAGGGATGCCTTTCCATTTTCTGAGATCCTCTTCAATTTCTTTTAAAAATATGGAGCCCTTCATGAATTTGCTTGTCATCCTTGTGCAGGGGCCATGCTAATCTTCTCTGTATTGTTCAGTTTTAGTATATGTGCTGACAAAGTGAGCATGCTTAGCCCTATCTTACCTTCTGGCCCTAGAGTAATGATCCAAATCTTGAGTTTGACTCAGTCAACATTGGATTTGAATCATGTCTTTTAACCTACTGTGTGACTCTCAGTACCTTTCTTAACTGCATTAGTGTTTTTCTGATGTATAAAAGGGGTAAAAATTATACAGAGTTTAAAAAATTAAATGAAATGTTATATGTCAAGCACTATTCCTAGAGCATGAGATACTCAACAAATATTAGTTTCACTAGTTATTATTTCTTTCATCATAGACTTCTCTCTGCATTCTTTTACTCATCAGTAGATAACCCCAGTAGATTATAAAAGCGTAGCAAAATTATTTTATATCGACGCCTGAACACACAGCAATCCAGTACCCATACTCCACATATTTGAATGTTGTTTTTTCCTTTTAAATAGTTGTTTACTTTAGTGTTTACTTAAAGTCAGCAACATGATGTTTTGATATACATATATGTATTGAAATGACTACCATAATCATTAATTTATCATACCCATGTCTTTTCAGTTACCTTTTTATTTTTGGAAAGCCTTTTAAGTTCTGTTGAAATATCATTGACAAATAAAATTTTGTGCAATTTAATTATATAAGTTTAAAGTGTGTAATGTGATAACGTGATACTTGTATACTGCAACATGATTAAGTAAATTGGTTAATACATTTTTCACTTCATGCAATTATGTGTGTGTAGTAGGAACTCTTATGACACTCAACAAATTTCAAGTACATAATGCAGTAATTTTATAGTCATCGACTGTACATTGGACCCCAGCCTTTAAAAAAATTTCACTGAAAGTTTATACATCTAATTAGTGTTTCTCCATTTCCCTTATCCCTCAAATTCTGGCAACTGCTATTCTACTCTTATCATGAGTACTTGTTTAAATTTTACTTATAGGTGAAATCATTTGTCTTATAAGTACAGTATTTGTCTTATCTTTCTCATGCTTATTTCACTTAATGCAATGCTCATGAGATTCATCCATATTCTCACAAATGATAGAATTTCCTTCTTTTTATGATTGAATAACATCCCATTATGTATATGGGATTACTTTACTTTATTACTTTATTTGTCTACCAATGGATACTTACAGTTGTTTCCATCTCTTGGGCATTGTGAACAATATTGGAGTGAACATACAAAGGCAGATATCTCTTTCATATATTGACTTTATTTCCTTTGGTGATATACCCAGAAGGGAGAGGGTTGAGGTATATGGAAGTCTTATTTTTAACTTTTTGAGGAAACTTAACCATATTGCCTTCCATAATGCTGTACCAAATTACATCCCCACCAACAGCAAAAAAAGATTTCCTTTCCTCCACTTTTTTGCCAACACTTATTTCTTGGGTTTTTGATAAGAGCTATTCAAACATGTATGAGGTAATATCTCATTGTGGTACTGATTTGCATTTCTCTGATTATTAGTGATGTTGAACATAGTTTTATGTAGTCGTGGGTGATTTGCATGAGTTCTTTGGAAAAATTTAGGTCCTTATTCAAGTCCTCCATTCATTTGTAAATTGGATTATTTGGAATTTTTTGCTATTGAATTTTTGCTGTTGTATTTTGGATGTTAACCATTCATTAGATATATGGTATGCAAATATTTTCTCCAAAATCCTTGGATTGTCTTTAAATTTGTTGATTGTCTCTTTGCTTATACAGAAGATTTAGCATTTGATAGACTCACTTGCTTAAGTTTGCTTTTGTTGCCTATGCACTTTGATCTTTTTTTAAAGGTCATCAATAATCTTCTCATTGCCAAGGCCAATGAATGCTTTTCATTATTTATCCCACTTTTGGGGGGGTATCTGATATCACCAAACATTCTCTTTTTGGAATTTTATTTTCTCTTTGTTTCCATGACAATTCATTCTTCTGATTTTTCTAATGAATTTCAATGTCTTTCCTTTCAATTTTCTTATCTGATTTCTTCCTCCATTGTTCAGTCGTCACACTTCACTACTCCCAGATGTAATCATTCGCTTGTTTTTTTTTTTCACTTTGCACATTGCTACCTTGACTGTAATTATCATTCATAATTCTGTTACTCTTAAACTTATTTATACTTCTAACTTATTCTCCAGACCTGTACTTTTGATCTTTTACTTGACACTGTCATCAGATTTCTTTTGTAAAATTTGAATTAGTGTTTACAAAGCAAAATATGGTTTCTTTCACCTCAAACCTGCTCTTTTTCTTGTAATCTTCTATCTGTTTGTGGTATTACTATTTCCCCATCATTCAGCCAAATGTATGTCATGTATAATTGCTTTTTTTGATCACTTTGCTCCCCAGCCCCACAAGTGTCCATCAGTTTTATTAATTATACTAACATCTCTCAAATCTATCCTCTTCTTTCCATTTTAGCTGTTATAAACCTAATTTAAGCCTATCTCTTGACTAAATATTGCAGCAGCATTACACATAACTGTCATTTTAAACAATACAAATATAATCATGTCACTCATTTGCAAAAACTTTTTACAGATTCACTCTCAAAACTACACAGAACCAGAGTGGGGCTGCTGGAAAATAACAAAAGTAATTTACTTTTGAGAGTAAACAAATTCTAGATCATCTCTATAGCAAACTTGTACTCATATTTTGATATGCTTTCTTAAATGGAAAAAAATTTTAAATAGCACTAAAGGTAGTATATGAGAATTTGTATTGGATTGGGACTGTCCATAGGAAACATACATGTAAACACCCTTTATACACCATGTATATTGTAGAATAGAAGCTGAGAATTACTGGCCTGTGTCTTGATGATTGTCAATTTTCAAGAGCTCTCCTTTTGCTTTGCCAACCCATAGTCTTGCTGTGATCAGTATTCAGGGACAATAGAGACCAGTTAGTTTGACTCAAGAAAAACAACATTTGTGTGGCATCAAAAGTGAACACTATGATACTTGTTTAATAATTGTCAATGGGAAACTTCTGAAAATATGGCAGTGTGATAAGTAGCAGCAAATCACCCTATGAGTTGGAATCCAGATTGAAAAAAATAACAACTTGGGGAAGAAAAGGAGAGAAGTGCATTCCTAGGAACAAGGAAGGACCTGAAGGGAAAGAGTGGAGCTGACAGAGAAAGTGAAGTGACAGACTTCAGTGTAGAAAAAGGAAGGGAAAACCTGTACTTGCTTCCTGGCTTCTGGCAGGTGATGTGACAAAGGAAGATCAAATCTACAGAGACACAATGAAAGCAGGCAACTCTATCAGGCCTTCAGGAAAAAATGGACCACAGTAGTGCATGCTTGTGGTGCAACAGATTGGGAGTGACTCCATTCTAAGTCACTGTCATGTACCCTGGAGAGAGTGCTTGGCTGGATTTCATTTTAGGGAAGGGCCAATGGAACCTGGGATTCAGATCAGTCATAAATTGGGTTCATCTCAGAGCTTCCAATGTTAAATTCCCATCACAACTGAGTGAGGGTCAACCACAGGAGACACGCAAGGTCAGGAAGCCATGGTCAGGTGTCTGCAGGAGACACCCAGAGTGCCATAAACTAAATGACTCAAGTCCAATTTCATGGCCAGAGGTGAAGATCAGTTTTTGTTAATTAATTAAGTTTGTTGGTAGACAGAAAAGCTTAGGAAAGACATAACAACATGAATGCACAACATAGAAAAGAACTGCATTCCATAAAACACACTCAAATAGAAATCCAGGAAATTAAAAATTCTACTGAATTTATTTATACACAGTGGAGTCAATCAATGTGAAGACAGCGGTCCTAGAGGACACTGAATTGCCCAGTGAAATCTTGTCTCAAAAAGACTAATAATAATAAAATCTGTTAGAGAAAGACAAACAAATCATCTATAAAAGAAAAGCCATAAGAATCATACCCAACTTCATGATACAACCAATTAAATCAAGGAGCCCTTACAGTATAGTGTCTCAACACCCCCCCCCCCCCACAAAAAACCAAGCTCTACCCCAGATTGATTAGCTTGAAAAGTTATCTTTCAGAATTGGTAGAGAAATAAGATACTTTCATGATAAACAACACCAGAAGAAGTTAATGACCACCACTACCACTCCAAAAAGTTCTGAAGGCTATTCTAGAAAACTAAGAACCAAATAGAATGAATTGTCCATAAGACAAGGCAAGCAATTAATATAAGACAAAGGGACAAAAATGAAAAATAACATGACAAGGATAAGTCAATACTTATCAGTTATAGTCATCAATGTGAATGGTCTCAGTTAAACAATCAAAAGTAACAGATTAACCAAATGGATTAAATAACAAGATCCAATAACATGCTGCATATAATAAACATATTTAATTAAAGAAGAAATTGATAGACTGAAAGTCAAAATATGAAAAACATTACTTCATGCAACAGAAACATATAAAAATCAGAAGCAGGTAATCTCTTTGCAGACAAAGTGGGCTTCAAGCCAATACTGATTAGAAGGAATAATGGAGATTTTGCATAATTGTTAAGGGCACAATTCAAAAAGGGGCATTAGCAATCATAAAAATGCATTCATGAAATACTAGTGCAACTCAATATAAAAAACACTAATAAATATGAAAGATCAGATAAACACTAATACAAGTGTAATGGAGGACCTCAATATCCCACAAAAAAATCAACTAGGCAAAAAATCAAAGAGGAAATATGAGAGCTGAACTTTACATTTGAACAAATGGACTCAGTAGATATCACCCCACACCAACAGAGTATACATTCTTCTCAGCTGCAGATGGGACTTTGCATTTTTATTTTAAAATAAACCATATACTAGTTAATAGAACATGTCAAGTAAATGCAAAGGAACTGAAATTATTCCATGCAACCTTTTAGCTCACTTATTAAAAAAAAATGAAAGACCCAAATCTATGTACTTGGGAATGAAAAGGGCCAAATAACAATGGATCATGCAGAAATCCAAATAATACCTACTATTTAGAGAACCTGTACTCTAATAACATGGAAAATATGGAAAAAGTG